CCCTAAGAGATTGTTGTAGTTCTCTTTTTCCGGAGGCGTAAAGTTTAAGGTCATCCATATAGAAAAGATGGGTGACCTTATGCCTCCGGTGCGAAAGTGGGCCGCAAGTATATCCCTTTGTTTTTCGTAAGGCAATTGAAAGCGGAAGTAGCGAAATGCAAAACAAGAGGGGGCCAAACAACCTGTGCCCACCGATAACCCTTGAGGAGGTTCAAGGTGCCTTAACGGGTGCAAGGAACTTCTCTGCTCCTGGACCGGATGGGATTAACACCTACTGGTGGAAAAAGTTTCCATCAACCCATCCACATTTGGTCCGCATCTTTAATGCTTGGATGCTTGGGGAGCAGGGGATCCCCCAATGGTTTGTCGAGGGCCGGACCGTGTTGCTTCCTAAGAACGGGGATTTGTCCGATCCAAAGAACTACAGGCCAATCACATGTTTAAACGCATGTTATAAAATCTTTAGAAGGGTCTTATACATGCGGATACTTGAAGCAGTGGATCCTGTTTTTGGTGAGGTATGCGAACAGCGAGGGTCAAAGAGGGGTGTGGCTGGCTGCAGGGAGAACTTGCTGATAGATCGTACTATCACGCAGGACTCCAGGCAGTACAAGCGGAACCTCTCGATGGCCTGGATTGACTACCGCAAGGCGTTTGACACAACGTCTCACCATCTCGTTGTGCACCTTCTCAAGAGCCTTGCGGTGCCTGATCCTATAGTGGAATGCCTAGAACGAATGATCCTACTTTGGCGAACCAGATTCACCATAACATCAGGTGCCACAAAAGTTCGCACAGAGTGGGTGACGTTCCGGAGAGGGGTGTTTCAAGGAGATTCCTTGAGCCCCTTCTTGTTTTGCATTTCGCTACTTCCGCTTTCAATTGCCTTACGAAAAACAAAGGGATATACTTGCGGCCCACCTTCGCACCGGAGGCATAAGGTCACCCATCTTTTCTATATGGATGACCTTAAACTTTACGCCTCCGGAAAAAGAGAACTACAACAATCTCTTAGGGTGGTGCAGGAGTATACTCATGCGATTGGAATGGAGTTCGGAACYMACAAATGCGCACTGGTRCATATCAAGAGAGYACGATGCGGAGAATACGGAGAGGATGAGCAACTTGCTGATGGAAGCATTCTTAAACATCTGAATGCCGGAGAGACCTATACCTACCTCGGCATTGAACAGCGTAATGTTCAAGWGGTAGGTAAAATCAAAGAGTCTCTTCGTGGCAAGTATCGGCWACTGCTCCGGCAAATTTGGTCTTCCGAACTGTCGGYGAAGAACAAAGTTGCCGCAACAAATATGCTTSCCGTTCCGATCCTGCTCTGCTCTTTTGGAGTAGMGAAGTGGACTAAAGGTGAGTTGCAAAACCTCGATGTAGGGACCCGCAAAATGATGACTCTTCAAAGGAGTCATCACCCAAAATCATCCGTTCCATGGTTATATCTCCCACGTAATCGGGGAGGCCGTGGACTCTTGAGTTTGCGGTGTCTGCACGACAGAGTAGCTTTGGGTACAGCCTGTAAGATCATCAGGAGCTCGGATCCCCTTCTTCGCATGGTATGCGAACACGAAAGAGGGGAGGTGGGAGCATTTTTGTTTAGGGCAGCACGAAGGGCAGCGGATGAACTCGGTCTTGTCTTCGATGAGGAACGAGTGTCTGAAAACTCAGTCACAGAGTGGGAGGATACTCGTTTCCAGGCCCACGTAAGGGAAGCCGAGGTGCGCAGTTTATTGCGCAAGCACTGTGACAAGCCCATGCATGGTGTCTMCTATAAAACCATAGAAGACCAGGGCTTGTCTCAGCGGCTGACCTTTGCCTTCTTGAAGGCAAGTGGGTTAAAGTCGGAGACGGAGGGGTTTATCATAGCCTGCTAAGATGGTGTTTTTAACACGCTCGTCTATCGCAGCCGCGTGATGGGTATGGGCATTCCGGATATCCGGTGCAGGGCATGTCGCACTGCACCAGAGACACTGATGCACATACTGTCGGCTTGTCCGAAGTATGCAGTGTCGTCCTATATCCATCGCCACAATGCGGCCTTACGAGTGGTCTACTACCACCTTAGACACTCGTACGGTGTAGACGAAACACCTGTGCTTCCCTATGCTCCAGGAGACATTGAGTCGGTAGTGGAGAATGAGAAGTGCCGAATTTATTGGAACTTTTCGTTTTCAACTACAGGACTCATTCAGGCCAACAAGCCTGACATTGTCCTCCTCGATCCTCTATCTAAGGAGATGTTTGTGATCGAATTCTCAGCTCCGGCTGAGCCAAACATCTCTGCTAAGGAGGAGGACAAGCGGTTAAAATACCGAGATCTCCTTCAGGAGCTCCGTAGGCTGTATCCTGGCTATTCTATCAAACTGGTCGTCTTGGTCATCGGATGTTTAGGGGGTGCAAGACCAACGCTGCTTTCGTCTTTGAAGATCATTCCGGCATGCCGCGACGCAGCTGAACGACTTGCCGGTCAAATGCAGAAGGCGGTAATCCTCGGCTCATTGCGTCTGCTTAGGGCACACGATTTTTGGACCTAGGATTTGCTTACCATGCGGTCGTATGGAGCAGGTTCTAGGGTATGGATTAAGCCGACTGGAATTACCCTTCAGTTGTCGGAGACTGGGGGCTCTGGTTCCAGTCAAATTTAAGCGAGAAAAAAAAATAATAATAGAGAAATACCAGGTGAATAAAAAGTATGGAACCAAACGTTTTTTGCTTAAACTATAAATTTTTTGGAAAAACTAATTGATGAACGATAAAGTACTTTAAACATGTGATGTTTTATCAAGAATAAAATTTTTCGAAATCTTTTTTTGTTTTAGAGTTCTACAAAAAAAAATTATTTTCTTAAATAGCAACCCACTATAAAATTATTTTTCTCATAAAGGTTATGATCTAAAGATTACAACTATCTACTTAATATTTAATTTTTTCAATTTTTTTTTTACATAAATTGCAATTTTGACTAAAAAAAATCGCACAACTCAAAAACAAGACAAAATTTCGATTTCAAAATACGATCCCATTTTTTATATTACGTTAATTTATATTAATTATTATTTTCTGAAGGCAAATAATTTCATACTTTATATTCACCCTGTATGTATTTATTACGTGATGTAAACATCTTTATTGAATCGGATTTGTTTTTGTTAATAAAAATTTTGCACATTGATGCATATTTTCCTATATTAGAGCCACTTAGACCATATTTGTTTTGTGAAGCTGAAAATATATGTTCAAATTTTAGTTAAAAAGAAATTATTATTTTTAGGTTTTTTTACGAATGAAACATAAAATTTTCCATTTTTTTTTTATTTTAAAAAGTATTTTGAAAAATCTGATTTATTTCGTTCCTCACTAGGTATAAGGTGTTGTTTCCAGTTTTCAGACAAAAGTAAAAAAAAATGTTTTTTGATAAATGCATTACTTTTTTTTTATTTTGAAGGGTACAAAAGAAACATAGATATTATTATTTAATTTTCAATTCCTTGAGATTCGTCGACAGCTTCTTCTAAAACCAATAAAATTAAATATAAACAACATTTTAAAAATGACTTCTTACCTTCAGAAATTGGTGTAGATTTAAATTTCGTTTTCAAAGTTTGATAATAAATATAAAAGTCCTCATTTTGTTTGGCAAATTCGTCCAATTCCTCCGTAGCCGAAAAAATATCAGCACCTGCATTGACTAAAATTTTAACAATGTGGAAACAACCATTTTTTGCAGCAACTGCAAGTGGACTTTTTTCCTTTTTTATCATACAAATCAATTGGAAGCCCTTGTTCCAAAAAGTACTTAACAACAAGGGCACTTTTAGTTTCCACAACATTTAGTAAAGTATTACGCTGAAAGTCGTCCAACAAAATACTTTTCAATTTGATTTCCATTTTAATTAAATTCTTCACAATTTTTAAAGTAAATCTCTTTAACCACATTGCCTTCATTTTCGCTCCCTGACTTATTAAATATTTCGTAATGTCGCAGTTGTCATTTTTCAGAGATTCAAACAGTGGATTATTATGGCCTTCATTGGTTGTAAAATTAACGTCGGCGCCATTTTCTATTAAAATCTTCACCACATCTAAATTCCCTACCCGTACAGCTTCAACTAGGGGTGTAGTTCTTTCCAGATATGTGCAATTAATTAAAACTTTTTGTGTTATAAAAAACTTAATTATATCGATTTTGCCCAAAGTAACAGCCTCTAAAAATGCAATTTGCATCGTAGCATCGGCTCCAAATTCGAACAAAAGTTTGATTGCTTCAAGATTTCCTGTTTCAACAGCTATCATAAGAGGAGTTTTGTTGCTTCTACCGGTCTTACAAATATCTGCACCATCTTCTAAAAGTTGTCGAACTTCATATAATTTTCCAGCCCAAATAGCATTATGTAGAGGATCAATAGATTTTTTTAAAACGGTCATAGAAGTAATTGTGTCAGGCTTTTTTTGTTTGTCCTTCGACTTCGTCTAAAAGTTTTGCATCCTCAGAATTGGTTTTATTGATGGATTCTGAATCTTGTGCAATTTGTAGTGATGGACGATCACTTTGCTTTCTGTTTGCATTTTTATTTACAAGTAGTTTTAAAATATCAAATGAACACTCTTCGTATATTGCCAAATGTAACGGAGCACAATTTTTACCATCTTTGTAATCAACGTCAGCTCCTTTTTCTACGAGGTACTTCAGTATATCAAATTTCTTTGCATTTATTGCCGCTGTAAGTGGAGTTTCATATCCATTTCTTTCAATAAAATTTAAAGGAAATTTCAATTTAATTATATATGTCTCAACTCCACTCATATCTCCTTTTCTGATGGCTTCAAGAAATCTAATCTTTCCCTATAAGCAAAACGACACAATCACATTCAATCAAAACACCAAACATCATAATTTTTATTGTATTCTATCATTTTACACGCGTTACAAACACGCTCATTGTGGTACAATGCACTAGTATCATCACTATGACAATTTTTAACACGTGTTTCTTATACTATTTTTTCCATTAAGTGATTTTTAAATTGAATGTATTATTATATTTGACAGTTAAAATTGATGACATTTGACCAGTGGCGGCTCGTGAAAAAGGCCAGGAGAAACCAAAATCAATAAAAAAAATTACAGATATTTCCATGTCGCCCATGAGGTAATCAATCTGCTCGACACGCTGACTTTTTTAGGGTTTCATTTTTTCAATTAAAAAAAGTAAAAAAAAACTATAAGAAAACTTTATAACATACAATAAAAATCAGAAGTAAAAACAAAAACACACAAAAAAATAGGTTGGAAACTGTTGTATTTTTATATTGTTATCTATCAAAAGCCGATGGTTGAGTTTATTACATATATTTTAAGAAACTAATATTACATGTATAAAGGTTGCCATTCTGATTCATGACACCACACTTGACAGCTCGCTGCTGTTGCCAACTTACACTAAGTAAAGTTACTATTTACAATATATTACAGAAACTTTGTCAATGATTTCCTTATAAAAGTTTAAATTTTGTGATAGATCACTAAGCAGCAATTCTTTTTCCATTGACAAAATGCCAAGTAAAAGTAAAAATGTCTTTAAAGTTGGCGTCAGTGAGTTCCAATATCGTTATTTGCTCTGCTTTTGAAAAGTGAGAATCTCTATAAATGACTGCTCATTTTCAAATTGAAAACATTTGTATAACTAGAATTTAACTATATTAAAAATGTATAAAGAATTTTTTTGTCGAATTCTGTAAAATCGCGATAAATCTGCTATAGAAAAAAACGGAAAGTTTTTGTTTTTTGATTCTTAAAGACAAAACATGCAAGATTTTGCATCTATGTGTCTTTCCTCTCGCTTTGTGAAACCGTACTGAGCATGCGCAAAACGCTTTAACTGAGGCTTGTAAAATGGGGCCTCATACCAACTGCGCTGGGTTTGAAACGTCAAAGTGAACATTGGAACATTTTTTCAACAAAAATTCTCCCCAAAAATAATTTATGTAAAAATGTGTTTAAATTAACTCAGGCCAACTGAGGCCTCAGTTGCCTCACCTGATGAGCCGCCACTGCATTTGAACAAAGCGGTATCAAATCACTTGAAGATAGCTCAAATTAGTCAAATTGCATTAGTTTCGATGAAATACGTTTATCTACAACAATTTCTCACTTAAAAACGATAGTATGCACTATGCAGCTAGTGATGGCAAAAGTATATTGCATAAAATGTTTCCACAAAATAGTTGCATTTTGTGCAACTGTTACTCAAAATGCTCAAAACAGAAAACACTTTTACGTTAATTTAAAATAATACTTTCATCCAAAAAGTAGAAATTCGTTAATTCGAAATGAAACAAAACTGAGAAATATTTACACTTACCCAAGGAGTCGCGTTTTTCATAGCAGCTGTTTCTTTTCTAAACTTGACACTAAAACATTAAAGTAAATTCTGATCTTTGTATCTTTTTTTATCGACGAAAAAAAATCATAAAATGACAGCTTGTGCATAGGAGAATGCGTGAATCGTACAACTGGAAGACACTTGTTTCAGCCACACTGTCAGAGCCATAATAGAGGGAAGGAAAGCTTCAGCACTGATTTCAACGTTTCAGTCTGTATGTAAAGTTTGGTAAATCCTAGAAGGATATCGATGAAAGGAATGCGCAGAGACGAAAACTGAGAGGTCGCAGACGAATCCATTCGTAAATATAGGGGGGGTTCTGAAATCAGCTGAGAGCAGTAGCGTGGCACTTATTTATTTGAACGAAATAAATAGGTAATCTACGTACAGTAATGAAAATATTTTGATTTTGTTACTTTATTAATAAATAACATTTTTAAAGAAATTGTTCCTTTATAAATTACAATACTCACTAACCATTTAAGGACCTAACAAAAAATATTTTTTCACGTTCCTGAAATAAAGTGTAAAATTTTTCATTAATTTTTACGTACATTTCGCACTAGAAAAGTGAAAAAAATGCCACAGCATTTAATTTTTTTTCTCATTTGTCAGAAATAAAAACGTATTAATTTTGCAATTTTTTTCTTGTATTAGTTAATTGTACATTTAAAATCAGTGTTATAAAATAAAAAGCTGTTAGATACTTCATGATTTCTACTGACGGACGTGAAAAAATGCAACTCTACAATTCCCCTTTTACGACAGAATGGTTCTGTGTTACGCCACTGGTCAAGTTTCCCCACTACACCGAGTACGCATTGGCTCCGCTTATCAATATCCTTTTAGGATTTTCTGACCTATAATACCTGGGAGAGAAGAAATTCCTTATTATACCAACCTCGAATGCTAAATCCCCTAAATGAATGTTAAAAAAGAGGACCTTTTAAGAATTTCAAAATTAAATAATTTAAAGGCGACTGCAATTTTTTTTAAATATATTTTTGTGAAATACAAATTATTAGTCACGGATTGTCAAGATGTACTTATATAAAAGATGACTTAGCGTCATGGAAACATACGATAATCCGTGTTCTTGATGTGGGAGTAGAAAAAATACATTAGTGTACCATTCTATGATGTAAGTAATTAAAATTAAGCAATAGTTGTCCAAAAATTTTTAAAATAAAATAGAATTCCAAATAATTTCTTTGAACTAAATGCTAAGTATGTACATTTGATAAGTAAAAATACTAAACGTTAGGTGAAAATAATACAGAAAGCTGTTGTAAAACAGAATAAAAAAAAAGGTAGGCAAATTAAACGCAATGTACAGCTGAACATACTAAACGTCAAATATTTTTGTTAAAAACAGTGAATGGTAGAAATACAGTTAAATAATAGATGCTCATTAACAAAATAAAAAAACAGGGCGATCCAATGTGTGAAACTGCACAGTAAAATAATAAAAATAAATGTTTAGTAATACAATCATAAATACTAATAACAAATTATGGTCTTGCACATGGACCGTACATACAGGATGATTCAAAAGTGTCGGACCATCTCTTGGGTGGTAATAAAACATATCCAACTGAGTAAAAAGTTCTCATGACAAAAAATTGTTTGAGTCTTTTGGGTTAGTTTTTGGATGTTTTCTTGAATTTAATTAGCGGAAACGACAGATCTTGCTACATTAAACAGATACCTGTTGAAAAAAAAAACACCAATTTTGTCTTATGATGTATAAAACTAGCAAATTCAACAATAAATTAAATTCGACAACATCGGACACAAAAGAGTTAAGCTGCATACCTGATAATATGGAAATTGACAGTTCTGTTATTTTTCAAAAAAAGGCTTTAAAAAAAATCTGAATTCATTTTTATGCTAAAGGTCTTCTATCACCGGTCCGACACTTTTGAATCAGCCTGTATGTAGATATAGAATTGTTCAGTGAGTGATTTTAAGTAAAAAACGTGTTATGGGTCTTTTGCTGCGTTGACCCAGATAATGCCTTAAAAGATAATACTTTTTTCCACTTTTTTACACAAAGCAAATCTTAATTTAATACGTAACTCTACAACCTAGCATTTAGACTATTTTACTTAGCACTTTATTACTAGCTGTTCATATTGTAAGATCATTGTCACTCCAAATTCAACTCTTCACTAATTGTAAATAATTTAAATTTCAAAAACTGATGACTGTCCTGAAATCATACTTATTATTATTGTCTTTTTTATAAATCCAATATTTTTTGTTTACCTTTAGCACACAGAAGCCATCAGTTTGTTGAAAATTTAGTACATAATACGATCCAATTACTGAATTTCATCTAGCCAATCTAAAGGAAGTTGTATAATATCTGCAAATTCTAAACCACTGGACATTGTTATTAAATGTTTAGTAATACAATCATAAATACTAATAATAAATTATGGTCTTTTAAAAAAGTCAAAAATATGCCAACAAATACATTTTGTAATACTGATTGATTTTATCAAGTGCCGTTTTTGTAAATAGTTAAAGTCTGTTTTTTTAATGGAAATTACCAAGTCAAAATTTTGGTGAAAAAATTAGTAGCAGGTAATTTTTTCGTCCCTAAAAATTTTGTTAAAAACTATTGTTACGTTTTCATATTGATGTCACAATTTTGTTGTTTGCTTTTTGTAAGCCTTGATAATCAAATACCTGGGGACAGACATCACTACCTAATATCCAAAGACAGAATTCAGTGCTGATAATATTACTACACTGTAAGTACAATGTTTGGAACAAAAATGAACTTCTTACTACAAAAACTTAAAATAAAGGGTGACTATAAAGAAAAAAGATTGTTCCGGATTTTATAAATAAAATAATATGTTGTGTATAAATTTTATTGTTCGTTCATCCGACGAGTACAAGATCTAATGCCGAACTGGCCTCTCAACACATCAGTTGTGTAAGAAGTTGTACGAATCATCATTGACAAAAAATATATCGGCTTAGATGACTAATTGCTGCCAAGGTACAGACAAAGAGTTTTACAAAAGTTGGGTAACGAATTAACAAAAACCAATGAGTCAGGAAATGTTCTAGAAAATGGTAAAACGTAATAATTAGTAACTGACAAATAATAAATCCTAACGCTAAATAATGAATAGCAATAATAATAAATTTGTAACAATAATAATAATAATAATGTAACAATAATAATAAATATGTAACAAGTTATTTTGCAAAAGATACAAGCAGGTTTTATGAAGATCGGCAATAAATTTTAAGTAATTTATTGAAATGAGCTCAAAGTTGATGCATTTACTAAGTTCTCCTTCGGCTCTAGTTTCAAAATTTTTACTTTTTTGACAAGTTCTTCAAAAACAGTGCAACCTGACCTAATAATTGAATTGCTTTCTTGTTGTATGTTGTATTCTCATCAATTTCTTATTAAAAATTAGAAAATGTTTAGCAATCCTACATTACAAATTGCGTCTAAATTTTAGCTGTGGTCTTTTTCTGACTTCTGTTTGCACACTTTTCGTCTTCAAATTTCCAAAAACTGTTTGCGATATCCACTTTGTCCCCGTTTTTGTGTCTTCATTTCTAAATTCTCGTAGACGATTTTTTTGTTGCCAACTTCCTTTATCAAAATTACCATGAATGCATTTGTTAGGTGTGCCAACGTTGACTGTTTTACATTTCCATTAAAGAAAACAGGCTTATTGTAAATGATTTATTAATGAGTTTTTAAAAAAATTTACAAAATCAAAGTCACAGAAATTTTCATTACGAAATTGAAATTTTACAAATAGCTAGTTATTGTTCTATTGAAGAACATTCATTAATAATATTTTCATTGTGAAATATACAGAAGAATAACCTCAAAAAATTCATTCCACGACAATAAAGTCTTCGTGAGATTCGTCGATAGAAACTGAAATCAATGAAATTATAATGCGCAACATTTAAAAAATTACTTCTTACCTTCAGAAATTTGTGTAGGTTTAAGGTTTGGTTTCAAACTTTGATAATAAACATATAATTCATTATTTTGATTAGCAAATTCGTCCAATACTTCTTTGGCTGAATAAATATCAGCGCCAGCATCGATCAAAATTTTAACAATGTGGTAAGAGCCATTTTTGGCAGCTATTGCAAGTGGACTTTTTTTCTTTTTATCATACAAATCAATTGGAAGTCCTTGTTCCAAAAGGTAGTTGACAATAAGAGTATTTTTAGTTTCCACAGCTGCTAGTAGTGTATTACATGTAAAATCTCCCAGCAAAATACTTTTCAGTTCAACTTCCATTTTAATTAATTTTTTCACAATTTGAAAAGTCAAAATCTTTAACCAATCCGCTCCCATTTTCGCTCCCTTACTTATTAAATATTTCGTAACGTCGCAAGTGCAATATTTCAATGATTCAAACAGTGGATTATGACCTCTATCGGTTGTAAAATTAACATCTGCGCCATTTTCAATTAAAATCTTCACCACATCAAATTTCCTCGCCCGAATAGCTTCTATTAGGGGTGTAGATTTTTCCCGATATTTGCAATCAATTATAACTTTGTTTGTAATAAAAAAATTAATTATATCAATTTTGCCCAATGTTATGGCTTTTAAAAATGCAGTTTGCATTGTAATATCGCCTCCAAATTCGAATAAAAGTTTGATTGCTTCGAGTTTTCCTCCTTCAACGGCTATCAGAAGGGGAATGTTGTCGCTTCTACCAATCTCACACACATCTGCACCATCTTCTAAAAGTTGTCTAGCTTTATATAATTGTCCACTCCAAATGGCCTCTTGTATAGGTGAAAATAAAGGTTCATTGTAGTTTTGTGTATTTTGTGGGGATTGGCCATCACTTTGCTTTTTGATACTTGCATCCTTATTTATAAGTAGTTTTAGAATATCTAACGGACATTCTTCGTATACTGCCAAATGCAACGGTGCACAATTTTTACCATCTTTGTAATCAACATTGACTCCATTTTCTACTAGATACTTCACTATATCGTATTTCTTTGCAACTATCGCCGTTGTCAGTGGAGATTCATATCCATTTCTTTCAATGAAATCTAAAGGATATTTCCATGAGACGTAATTTTCAACTCCCTTTAAATTCCCGCTTTTGATGTCTTCAAGAAAACGACTTTTTACCTACAAGCAATTACACAATTTCAACATTATTACATTCAATAAAAAAATAGTAGATTGTTCTATAAGTTAAAAAAAAGTGGTTGTTTTCCAGTGAGTGTGAAAGTTTCAATTAAATTACACGAACAAAAAAAAATCACTTTTCTTAACGTCTTGAACATGCTATTTTTTTGTGTATTTGACCCAAAAGACTAAAATGAAGAAAAATTAATTGATCAAGGTATCATATTTTGCTAACATGGTAGCAAAAGAAAAGAACGATGTTTTTAGTAAATAAATTTTTCATTGTGCAAAATTACTGAATTGGGTGAAGGATTTTCCAATATTTTAAGAACAGTAACAGAAATTAATTCAAATTTGCTACCGTCGAAGGTAAGAGAAAAGTATGAGAAAACTTATGAACAGTTTTGTTCATGGAGAAAATCAAAAAAAGTAGAGGGAAGTGATGAAAACATACTAATCGCTTTCTTTTTTGAAAAGGTATTTGTCATTAATTACATTACTTTTCAGTACTAATTTTTAACGTATTGTTGTAGGCCAAAAGTTTGAAATCTTCAACATTGTGGTCATTGAATTCAATGTTAAAAAGTACGCTGGCTATTAATCAAAATTTATACTTATAAAAAGTCCTTGCATATTTAAAACGTTAAAATGACGGATATGTGGCCAAAAAATCTAAAGTTTTTACGATGGATAACATCAACACGTTTTTCACTAAGGCCCCGGATGATACGTTCCTGTTCATGAAAGTAGTTATGATTTTTGCTTTACATATAAAGCCTGCCGAGCTAATGAATTACGTTTGCTAAAAGTAGAAGAAGTTGATAACATTTAATACTGTAAATAATTGTACATTTTCTATTAATATTCATAATTAAAATGTATAAAGTTTAATCGTTGCTTTATTTAATGGTCGCTAAGTATCCAAAATCGTAAAGAAAAGTGTAGCTAACTGAAATCGTGAAGAAATGTGTTGCTAACGATCAAAGTTCCACTTTTCTTTACGATTTTAAATTGAACAACGTACTACATTTCTATCAAATACACGAAAAACATTATTTTTATTGTGTTCTATCATTCCATATGCCGGTAAAGACACTTGCAACAATTAAAAATAATCCATTCACCCAAAAAATCGTAACTCATAAATGAACAAAAAAAAATCCCACGTGCACACACTAAAAAGTAATTAAACTTACCCATTGAGTCGCTGCCATTACAACTTTTTCTTTTCTGATTAAACACAAAAACACCTTATGCAGGGCGAACGTTCAATGATTGAAATTTTGTTTTTTTTTTATGGAGAAAAACATAAAACGAGAGCTTAAACAATGAAGAATGGTCGAGTTGCACGCACAGTGCAGCTATCACGGATGCGCACAGAAGAGCGTATGTGCAGATAAAGAAAGAGAGAAGCAATTCCCACTCATACCAACCTTGAATGTTAAATGCACTAGAATTGAGACAAACTAATTTAGTGATCTTGCTTTATTCCTTGTGGATTTTTCTGTGTTGTGATTGGCTGAAAATAAGATTGGAAGTAGATATGTATTAAAAAAAAGAGGAAATATAGCAATATTGAATGTGAAAAAAACAAAATCATCTGGAAGAGCAATTAATTATTTCACAATTAGAACCGACAGAATTTTCATTAATTTCAAAATTTAGTTTTCAAAAGCCACTAAGAAACAAAACTATA